AATGTGTGAGGGTCTACGATGTGCACACGTGTAAATAAGTGCAGGAAGAAAGGGACTAGTGGACATTAAAGGATGGAAAGAGAGAGAAGGAGAGGGAGAGACTGAGAACACACACAAGATAGCGGCACGTTTGTGGTAGAACCCTTTACTAATGTGCTCTTTTTGATCTACATGCCCCAAAAGATGCCCATGGTGAGCATCATGGTTACTACTGCCATTCCTCTCACTCTTTTTTGTGGCAGGCATTGCGTCTGCAAAAGAACAAAATGCCTTGTTATCTTTCAGTCTTCTTTATCTGTAACACCATCTCTCTGATCATCTCGCCCTGCTGCCCAAGGGCCGAAACAGGATATGTTTAAATACAACCAATGACACTAGGCGCGCATTAAAGAACAAGAGGAGGGGGGAAAGCACGACAGGAAATTCTTGGTGAACTACTGAACGCTGGGTCTCGAAATATGCCCTGCTATACTACTGAATCCAATGTAATGCCCGTATTTTCCCATCATGATTTCCCAATCATATTGTACACTCCTAGCACAATCATATCATGGAACATATTGCTGTTCGCTACATAAAAACTCTGTAATTTGTTTATACAGCAGTTTGGAGGAATGCAATTGATATATTAGCGTAGGGGCGGTGCAAACAGGAAAAGGCATTATGGGTACCTTCTGATTTTTGCAGAACATGTACATGCAAAGTCATCGGTGATTCTCCTGGATGAGTGCAGGACAGCTGGTGAAATGCATGACAGCAGAATGCAATGACACACACTGGGCTCACATGCAGCCGACCAGTAAAATTTGCACTTACAAAACTACTAATGAGTATACTAATTCTAGAGATTACGGTGATTATTTTTTAACATATTCTTTTGATAAAGCTCCTCGTATACGACTGTGAAGGCTCCGTTTCAACACTTCCCTGTCGAGAAGTTTGCGTAGAGGAAGGAGAACAAGCGCGCAGGAGGAGGATAGTTAAGGAAAGAAATAGGAGGGTAAATTAAAGAAGGAAGTGGCAACCCAATTTCATGAAAAAACACAACTAGGTGGCACATTCGTATGAAGGTCGTACAAATTTATACGAAGTAGCCACCAATTTGCAAATTGTCATGAGTTTGTTGCAAGTGGAGGACTGCTGTGGGTTTGAGTGTGTGATAAACGGAAGAAAGACCAGCTTCACAAAGCTGCAACAGACTAGCAGAGGTTTCCATAGGACATGTTCTGACAGTTTCCCATTAATTATGTTTAACTACACAACGCTAGTTTCACATTCACACCGATCCCTGAGGAGCCCTCTCACCAGTCACATCTTCGCTCCCTTTCCCATTTCTCCTTCCGCTATATCCAAAGTTTTGTACAAAGCCTTTAAAAGTTCATAATTCCCTTTTTATTTTATAATCTGAAAGTTATGTTTTTATAAATATTATTTATTACACAATGTATATATCTGTATGTCTGAACTAAGATTATATATTTGAAGAACAAAACAGTCTCATGATTTTGCTTTTAAATATAAGACTGACTCTTGCTCTGCTGCTATATGCTATGTGTAGCCTCATTTATAGCAATATATAATGCAGATAACGACACTTTTAACAACAGATTATTCAAATAAAGCATACACCGTAAAAAAAAAAAAAAAAAAAATCTGTGACATTTACGGTAAAATACCGGCAGCTGTGGTTGCCAGAACTTCACAGTTAAAAATATGGTAGAAACATTTGAGGTTTTACAGGCTTAACTGTAACCGGCATATTGAAATACTAATATCTGTTTTGAACAATTGTAATGCTGATAACCACCAAAAACAGGTGGTGATGAGAAAGTCGCGATGAATCAAAACTCATCAGAAACAGCTCTTCCACAAGCTGAGAAGGGAAATACTAATATACAGGTGCATCTCAATAAATTAGAATGTCGTGGAAAAGTTCATTTATTTCAGTAATTCAACTCAAGTTGTGAAACTCGTGTATTAAATAAATTCAATGCACACAGACTGAAGTAGTTTAAGTCTTTGGTTCTTTTAATTGTGATGATTTTGGCTCACATTTAACAAAAAAAAACCAATTCACTATCTCAACAAATTAGAATACTTCATAAGATCAATAAAAAAAAAAACATTGTTGGCCTTCTGGAAAGTATGTTAATTTACGGTACATGTACTCAATACTTGTTAGGGGCTCCTTAAGGTGCACAGTGTCATTCACACAAACACTAAACACCATCATGGTAACACACGATACTGAAATAATGCAGTAAACCTTCATTTAACAACATTAGATGTAAGATAATACCCTAATGTACACAGCTGATAAGGAAAAACTAAGAAACAGTTATTTCAACGAAAAAACTAAATATGAAGTGTCCACGACATTCTAATTTATTGAGATGCACCTGTATATATATATATATATATATAGAAAGGTGCACAGTGTCATTCACACAAACACTAAACACCATCATGGTAACACACGATACTGAAATAATGCAATAAACATTCATTTAACAACATTAGATGTAAGATAAAACACTAATGTACACAACTGATAAGGAAAAACAAAGAAGAAACAGTTATTTCAACGAAAAAACTAAATATGAAGTGTCATGCAGGGAATTCTGTGAGTGTCAATTTAGTTTTTCACTGTAAATTATACAATTACTTTTTCTTTTTGACTTCCAAAAACTGTAATTTTAACAGTATTTTACTGTAAAATTACATTAAATGTAATTACAGTTATTCACTGTATAGTATGGAAACTTACTGATAACCAATTAACAGGTTTTTACTGTAGCATTTTTAGTCTTTTACTGTTAAAATGACAATAATTTTTTACAGTGTAGCATAAAAATAAAAAAGCTAAATAAAGGGTTCAATCATCTGATCCTCATGTCTGCATTCCAGCGCTGACATCATTCTGTAGGTTTGCAGACGGACCTCTGTTGTCTCCACTACAGTAGCTCCACTTAATGACAGAGTAAAGCATGACACAATGAACACTACAAATATTGACTGAAATAAAGCTGACTTCTTTTACCTGTTCATGTAGATATTACTCAATCGGCTCCTGTACACACAGGTCAATCTGAGAGTCGCACCTGTTATTACTCTGACAATGTGAAGGTAGCCTATGTGATAGACCCGATTCCAGAATCAAATCACTGAGGATGCTCTAGCCTTAACTGCACATCAATTGGCCTACATGACAAATTTGCCCCGTCCACTGTTATTGTTATCACCATGTCAGTCATTGCAATTTGTAGAGTGAATCCCACATTTATGCGGATGACACTCCCGAAAATAAACAGCATGTGTGTGGATGTTGGCCATCTTATTAGCATGAAAAACTCAATTTTATTCAAATTCTGAATGAATTATTTACTGCTAGCCAAAAAAGCAAGCAAAGAGCATTCACTTTATAATCACTAGAAAGCTCATTTCAGTTTATTCACAATGTCACAAAGTTACGCTACAACTAATTAATCTCTCTACTACCTCGCACAATGAATATTATTTACATCATGTCTACACCTTGGTCTACACGAGCGGATTCTGACTAACTTACTGTAAACACTTCTGATTGGCCATTGCAGTAAAGAAATCAACAGTTATGACTGTGATTGGCTACGTTGCTCAACGCTGCGTTGGAAATAGAAACCGTTAAAGCTTTCCTGATTGCAAACACAAAGACGCATTGGAGCGTTTGCAAAATCTGCTTAGCACCCCCGTAGAACCAGGCCTGCAAATTCAATGACTCTTTTTATCCACAGAACTCAAGTTTTTAATAAGCGTGTTGTAGTTCGGTTATTTTGGTCTGGATCAAAAACGTAAATTACACATACACGGAGATCGGCAGACGGTGGTTGGGACGCCTGTACCGAATTGTACTCAACAAAAAAGAATACGTTGCCTCATAATAATAACTTATTTTAAAAAAACAAAGTAATATTTTCAGCCAACTTGAGTTGTAGCTCTGGAATCAATTAATATTATCTCTTTATGTTATTAAATCCACAGCTATACTACACGCTAAACTTATTTAGCATGTATACTTAAAGGGATAGTTCACTCAAAAATGAACATTTACTCATACACATCCTAGGTGTATATGACATTCTTCTTTCAGACGCATACAATCGGAGTTACATTAAATAATGTGCAGGCTAATCCATACTTTATAATGAGAGTGGATGGTAGCCCAAAATTTGAAGTCCAAAAAATTGCACCCATCCATTATAAAAGAAGTCCACACGGCTCCGGGGGGTTAATAAAGGACTTCTGAAGCAACGCGATGGGTTTGTGTAAGAAAAATATCCATATTTACAACTTTATAAACCTTAATCTCTAGCTTCCGCTAACTGTCATACGCTCCATCACGAGAGAGTGGCATCCAGCGGATGACGTAAGCGTAGAATAAGCTCTGGTGAGAATATGATAGTCTCGCGAGAAATAAGTTTTGTTTACAGCAAAGGAAAACCAGTGTCCTCTTGGCTTATATCGAAATCCTCCAACATTTTTCTTTACAAATCCTCATTTTGTACTACTAATTCGTGACCGGTGTTTTGTTTTGCTCTCTCCTCTGTGCTTCCACGTTCGTCACTGCGTTTGCCTATGTGCTACATCATCCGCTGGACACCACGCTCTCGTGAATGAGCATACGACAGTTAGCAGAAGCTAGAGATTTAGGTTTATAAAGTTGTAAAAAGTTCATTTCAACATTTACTCCCCTTATCCAGTTCTATGCAAAGCATGCTGGGAACGAAAAATCCACTATCGAATTCCGAAGGTTAACAAGAAAATTTCATTATTTTATTACAGCTTTTTTTTTTTTTTTTAAGAAATTCATTTAACACAGAAATTTGAGTTTCAATTACACAAAATATTTAGTGAATGTAATGAATATAACATCATGTCAGGTGAACTGAACAAAAAGGTTGCAACTTAAAAGGTTTAATTAAATCAATAAATTCCAATTTTGTAAATTGTAACCATGCATTTATTTAAGTTGTGGTAATGGGCAACACAGCTCTTATGACAAGAAGAATCAAGCAAGTATGCTTGAGCATTCTGTCTTTTTTGAGCATTCTGTCTTTGGTCCATACTGGGTTCATATATCAGTCAAACTGTACCAAAGTTTGTTTGGGAGTGGACCAAGATCCACCTTTTCATGGGTTCTTGAGCCGCTTTTATGTGCACACTAATGTTCAGATGGCAAAGTTCACACTTATTCAAATATAGCGCACTAACAGAGCAATTGCACCAGAGTAGACAGTTCATTTTAAACCAGACCTGCTAAGTATGAACACAACCTTAGTCTCAATGAAAAAAAAGCAAATTCTTACAAATCAACAATAACTGCAGTCATTTATTGCCATCTTAAAACCGCATTTTAATCAGGAAATCATCGAAGACATTATTTATATTTATATTTAATAGGAAATTGCAGTAATTAATTCCTCTACAGTTTATGCCATGAAAACATAATTTATAGTCCAAATGTTTGACAATAAAGGCAGCTACTACAAGTACTAGTGTGTGACATGCAGTCCAAAATTTGCAAAGATCCAAAATGTATACAAACCTCAAATTCTATATTTAAATGTGGTTCAATCACGATGACTTTCACAGTTCAACAGTAAAAGTCATAAAGGGGTCATAATGTTTTGAGAGAGAAAGTATGCATGTAAGAGACATCAAGAGAAAGAAGAGGTGAATTCAAGGCCAATGTGAACTATCTTGGCACTTTTGGCAGAAGGGAGGTAGGTCGCGGGTTTCCATCCTGTACACAATGCTTAAGGCCGCTATGTTACCCATTAGACTGGGGCGAGGGGCTGAGACCAAGACCTTTCCTATGTTCCTGACATGGAATGTCCCGAGCAATATAAGAAGGACGGATAGTTCCCTAAAATACACAGATCTTTTTCTAGTCAGAAAACAATAAAAGCAATAAACAAACTGCAACTGGCATGCTAAGGCACAGGAGTGAGCATTTCAATATTGTTATTGGCAGGCACTAACTGTTAAGATAATAAGTCCATCCATGACAAAGAGAAAAGCGAGCAGAGGATTTGGTCAGAGAATTTTACCATTGTTAAATTCACACACCCCAGTAAGGACACATTTAGGAGTAAGGCATTATTGACAGGAATGGTTCATGTCAGTAAATACATATAAATATGATACATTATATATATAAACACCTTTATATACATGCAGGTACTATTTAAAAATTCCTGATGTCATAAGACAACTGAGGCACTGTACAAATATGAGACCCTTTGCACTTGTAGTGAGGAATCAAGGAGCTAGTGTGTCTGCATTTCCCATGGAAACATGCTGTACATATACTTAAGGAAAGTGAGGGATAGAGAGATATGCTGTAGGTGTGTCTGCTCTCTCTCTCTCAGTCTCTCAAGTGCACTCAGTGTTTTCCTGACTCCTTTAACAGCTTCTGAAATACATGGCAGAAAACACAAACGGGAAACCTTATGAAAAAGTGCACATGTGTAATGTGAATAGATGAAAGCTAAAACAAAGATGACAATAATGAAATCAATAATCTTATTTTCATAATAAACATCCCTGGTGTCATTTTGAATGATTTAACAATGTATATTATTTAAAGCAAAAAATATATAAATAAATAAAACATGCACTATCATTCAGAAGTTTGGGGCTGGTAAGATTTTTTTTTATGTATTTGAAAGAAGTCTCTTAAGCTCATCAAGGTTGCATTTTTGTTGATCAAAAATACAGTAAAACAGTCATCTTGTGAAATATGATTTCAATTTAAAATAACTGTTTTCTATTTTAATATATTTTAAAATGTAATTTATTCTTGTGATGGCAAAGCTGAACTGTCAGCAGCCATTACTCCCGTCTTCAGTGTCACATGATCCTTCAGAAATCATTTTAATATGCAGCTTTCTAGCTCAAATAGCATTTCTTGTTATCAATGTTTAAAATAATCAATGTTTAATAATAATAAATACTTTATTTTAGCATTCTTTGATTAATAGAAAGTTTAAAAGAATAACGTACAATGTACAATTTTTGTAACATTATAAATGTTTTACTGTCACTTTTGATCAATTTAATGCATCCTTGCTGAATAAAAAATTTTTTTTTTTTAATCCCAAAATTCTGAATGGCAGTTCAAAATAAAAATGCCCTCTGACCTCTGAAATATTTTGTGCCGAAAGGGGAAATTCAATTTAATGAATCATAATTTTTTTACAAACCAATCAAATCCCAAAGGGAAAAAGCATATAAAAAAGAATATTTTGTTGTCATATTACAGTACATAAGTTAAATGCAGCAATTGATGTTTGTGATGTTGTCTTTACATTTTCAGTATTTGATCATCTCTAACTGTCCACAGAGGCTGAAATTATAATATTGAAATATTGACAGTCAACTGTGACCCTGGAGCACAAAACTATAAGGATATGACTATAAGTGTCAATTTTGTGAAATTGAGATTTATACATCATCTAAAAGCTGAACAGATAAGCTTTCCATTGATGTATGGTTTGTTAGGATAGGACAATATTTGTCCGAGATACAACTATTTGAAAATCTGGAATCTGAGGGTGCAAAAAATAAAAATAAATAATCAAAATATTGAGAAAATTGCCTTTAAAGTTGTCCAAATGAAGTCCTTAGCAATGCATATGATTTTTGGCATAAAAGAAAAATTTATAATTTTGACCCATACAATGTATTGTTAGTTATCGCTACAAATATACCTGTGCTACTTATGACTGCTTTTGTGGTCCAGGGTCACAAATGTGTAAAAAGTAAGGCTTGGTAACTACTTGTCAGTCCTACCAAAATAGCCTTGGCTTGTCAGGCTACTCCCCTGCACCCAAGACTATATGGCCACATGTTTGTTAGAGCCCAACCTGAAGAACAACATAAGCAACATATTAATGATAACAATCAATATGATAAAGGAGGAAAAATCCATTTGATGCCAACCAAAAAATGGCCTTACGCTCCTTCTTCTCTCAGTAGTGCCAAGAACTTGTTAACTCTGTATTCCAAAGGCATCTGAAAAATAATATAGAAAAATACCCACAGGAGAGGTGAAAAATGAAGAATAAAAGTGAAATCAGAAAATAAATAAAAAATCTTTGTTAATTACACTGCTGTAAATTCTTTGCAAGCCCCCTTTTCTGGAAAGTTCTGAGATGTTGAAAAGACAAAAACCTTGTCAGCTATGTAAAGCCTGGAGGGTTCGGAGGGGCCCTGAGTTTGTCTGTGAGGAGTTGGGCGGCAGTAAATGGCAGTCGGGAAGGGGAAGTGACAAGACTAGTGATAAATCCAGCAGGCTGGCGTACCTGTGTCACCCAGGCCAGGAAGAGTGATAGACAACCCAGTCCTCATCCCCTTGCATACTATTGTTATTTGATGATGTTCTGAGTGAAATTTACATGAAGTAAAAATAAATCATCCCAGATTATTTTTATTGTACGATTCATTTCCTTATGCTTTAATGAATTGTCTAAGGAAAGATTAATTAAGGAGCTGCACAGGTTTAATCTTAGTCCTGAACTAAATTGTGCGGTTAACTTTCCTTTATAGACTAGAATGTGATTTAAGGACAGAGTAGAGCTCTGAGGAGGGAGATGGCACCAAGGAGGAAAATTAATGAAGGTGTATGCAATAACTTAGCTTTTCAATTGCCTGGGGCTGTTGGAGAAGTGGAAATTACTGAAAGAATAGAGGGAATGGAAGGAAAACGCAGTGCGGCTGTGTGCAGCATGTCCCGGCAGACTCTGTCTCATTCCTCTCTGAGGGGAAGCACTCAGCGCTGCCACATTACTGCATACCACACCAATTACACAGCATCCAGCACAAACACCACAAAAACTAACAAACATGACTATAATTCTCATTAAACAAGACCAGCAATAATCTATAACTATAATAGCTTAAAAAAAGAACCGGAATCTTTTTTAAAATACAGGTTTTCAAAAGACTCAACATTGGCATAATAAAGCACAACAGTGACTGGCCAGTTTTTCAGTGGCCTTGGTTCCAGAAGTATTTTTCCTATTATTTTTTTCTCCACAGGGATTTCAAAAATGTCTTCAATAAAGAGTTCTAACCAACTTTGTCTGAGGTGGATCACATCATCACAAACACTGAAGTAAAAAAAAAAAAGTATTTTATATAAAGCTGTTTTCTATTTTAATATATTTATAAATGTATGTTATTCCTGTGATGGCAAAGCTGAATTTTCAGCTGTCACATGATCATTCAGAAATCATTCTAATTAGGGATGCACTAGTGGCTGCAGGACACTATAGTTCATTTATGTAAGTGAGGATAGCAAAATAAAGTAAACTGTGACAAATCATACCCAAAAATTCTTCATACAGTGGACTACCAGTAAAATTGATACAAGTTTGGGACCAAAAATTATTCAGACCGAGCCTGGGGAAAAACTGAATTTGAGGTTTGCATGAAGCTGGGTGACAGCATGCCCAGGAGACTACAGGCTGTCATTGAGGCTAAGGGTTGCCCGACTAAGTATTGATAGTTGTGTAAATACTGTCATACTAACAGCTGTCTAATTTTTGGTTGATTTTAATCTATTACATACCTTTCTATCAAAGTTATGACATTATCAAGCTGAATTTGTTCTGACACAGTTTAACTCCGAGTTCTTGTCATATTTTATTACCATTTTCTAAACTATAGCGAATAAACTGTGATAATATGAGAAATGTTTAAGGTGTCTAAATAAATTTTGGTTTAACTGTATCTATTTGATAAATGAAGTTAACCAACTAACATTATACATACCCTTTTAGATTTTTGAATAAAATTTTTGAATAGATCTATTTTTTTATATTTAATAATATATAATTTTAACAGTATTAAGGCATTAAGCAGCTAACATTATTGCAGGATTTTTGAGAACAGTCTATTTTGGCAGGGAAAGTGAAAGGCTTCAATCAACTCCAGAAGCGGGCCATGCACACCAAATTACATGCAGATGAGGAATATGGAGTTCTGTTTATTTGTGCGTGTCGAGAGAGAAGGCGCATCTGGAGGGGCTTGTTTTCATTACGATGCCATAAAGTAATTGAATTTGGCATTGACTCAAGCCGCAGATGATTTCGCAGGAAAAGCTGTGACTCAGAGAGTCATCTAGACAAGCCGCAGGGTGAAAAGGTCATTCAGCATCTCACCTGCAGTGACATCTCAATGAGCATCTGCAGCTTCTTAATGCCGAGCCACACCGTTTGTCCTTTCACCTGTTTTGCGATAGTTGCTCGCTCTTCTTCCTGGAAGCCCCCGAGAAGCTGAACCACACAGAAGAAAACAAACAGTCGGTTGTAGCCTAACAGTCAAAAACTATGGTCAGAATTTGAAATGTACATTTAGTTCACCCAGAAATGAAAATTCTATCATCATTTCCTCACCTTCATGCCATTCCAAACCCATATGAACTAATTTCTTCTGTGGAACATAAAAGATTCTTGAAAAATGTTTCAAATATTTTTGCACATACAATAAAATCAATGGGGTCCAAAACAACACTGAACCCCCATTGACTTTCACGTTGTGGAAAAGTGCAAAGAAAGCAACTCATACAGGTGGGAGATTTAGGATGACAGAACTGACATTTTTGGGTGAACTATCCCTGAGATTTGCATACATCATAGAACCATAGCTCCATTTTTTCTTCAAGAAACTTGTTTTTCTGCCCCTCAAACCTATCATAGTGCCCCCAATACATCTGTGGACACCTACGTCATACTTTAAAATGCATGAAAGTTTTACATTATATTGTAAAATATTGAAGTTTCGGGCACACTTTATTTTAAGGTCCAATTCTCGCTATTAATTAACTACTAACTATGAATTTTGCCTCAATAAACTCCTAATTTGCTGCTTATTAATAGTAAGGTAGTTGTTAAGTTTAGGTATTGGGTAGGATTAGGGATGTAGAATATGGTCATGGAGAATATGTGCTTTATAAGCATTAATAAACAGCCAATATGCAAGTAATATGCATGCTTATAAGCAACTAGTTAATAGAGAGAATTGGTCCCTATACTAAAGTGTTACCAAAGTTTCTTAGTTTCAAATGATAATACTATAGATTTACGGTTCGTTATCTGCAAATAAATTATTTTCTCATGAAAGTGATCATGACAACAGCCTGAAATAACAGTAAGAAAAATCTATTTTTAAATGGAAAAGAATATTGAACCTTTATAAGAAAATATAATGTTTTATGTTTTGCACCATATTTGATACATTAGGCTTGTATGGCCCATATATTGATATAGTGAGTATATGGAGCTTAAAATAAAAAACACCGCAATTCTATTCAGAGGCTCAAGCCTGTATTGTAAATCAATAAGCTTTTTATAAAAGTACACACAATTTTCATAAAATACATATAAACAAATATAGTTGTCACTCTATCACTTTATATCTCCTGATATCTTCTCTTAGCAAGACATAAGCCATTTAAATGCTTAATTTTATAATCAAAGCTTTGTAGTTTCAATTTTAGGGGTGAAACATATAATGCAATGCAATTATGTACTAATAAATATTCCTCAAAAGCCTGTTATATTTTTTTTTTAAAAAGGATAATAAAATTAACCTAAGTTGCTTCATTCAGTAAATGTTCATCTTGAAATGTTAATTACAATATACAGGTTATTATTACATTTACTTTACAAAAATCATTACATTCATCATTTACAAAATTCACAGCTCATGTACCATAACCTATATATTTTTACAATTATACTAAATGGCCTTTAACTTGCTGAATTAGTATTAACTATCACTCAGATGACAGAAGTCATGTGGTAGATTATGTACAACAGGTTTTTCAGAAAGTTTTAATAATGTTGATAATGTAGATCACTAGGCTTTATAAAGTTAAGTGTCCAAAACCATTTGGGGCAACTGCACACCTACTGCACACCTCTTTTATCTATTGAACTCTTTGCGTTTCTAAGAGCCTCACCTCCAGGGCCTCCATGAGATGTTCTCCTCTAGAGATGTTAGGGATGTGAATTGTAGTGCTGAAAGAGTCCAACATGCCCATCTCCTGCAGAACATCCTTCCGGCTAGTTGTGCCAAGAATCAGCAACTTACGACCCTGAAGTGTAAATACAAGCAACCGTGTAAAATGATTTTGTTTACAATTTATGGTAATACTTTTTAACACTGAAGGTCAAAATTTCTCACTGAAGAACTTTCGAGATGTGCTACTACAGCTGTGCTATGGTGCTATCTACGTGAAGTAAAGAGGTGGGCCATTCCCAGAGGCCCCAGCGAGCAGAGGGGATTATGGGTCGCCCCCCTGTGGCGCCCAGTATATGCTAGTGCATGCAGATGAGGTGCCACACAGGCAGCAGGCCTGCCAGGTCTCGGCTCTCTCACAAACCCTTTCTATCAACTCACCCAAGACCCGACTCCCTGCTGAGTGCTGCTCTATACAGTCCTGATCTGGAGGAACAGACCCTCAGCTATTCAAAACACCTTACAAACACAGCACAACACCTATTCCTGCCCAACATACACACCAAGCAAGAAGACACAACAGTAGCTTGTTGGGGGACCTGTACGCTATGAAAAACTTTCAAAGTTTTCAAATGGAGCCAAAATATAAATGTAGATTTTGGTTACTGGTTCAAGTTCAAAGAACATTCAAAGAATGTTTAAATCACATTTGTGACTGCTTAGAAAAGAGACAGGATGTTTTTTCTCAATTAAATTTGAGGTGTCTTGTGTCCATAATACAAATGGTGTGGTACAAGTTACATACCAAAGTTTAACCAAAGCTTCTCAAACATTTGGGGTGACCACAGACTCAAAACTTGAAGGAAACATGCTCACCAAGGCTGCATTTATTACATCAAAAAGACAGTAAATACAGTAACATCGTGAAATATTATTATAAGTTAAAATAACCGTTTTCTATTTGAATATATTTTAAAATGTGATGTCAAAGCATCATTACTCCAGTATTCGGTGTCACATGATCCTTCAGAAATCATTCTAATATGCTGATTTGGCATTTATGGATAATTTCTTATTATGATCACAGTTGAAAATGGTTGTGCCGTTTCATATTTTTATGGAAACCATCATACATTTTTCAGGATTCTTTGATGAATCAAACGTTTTAATTTGAAATAGATTTTTTTATATTATAAATGTCTTCAATGTCACTTGATCAGTTTAACGCCTTCTTGCTGAATAAAAATAGAAGAATGCTGTTCCCTCAGTGTTTGTGTGTACATGTGTGCAATGTATGTGTGCAACTGTAACTTGTCAAGCTATAAGTTACTCATAAATTTACAGTTAGTATTTGTGGAATCATCAAATCTTAAACACTGTTATATAATTAAAGGTACAGTGCATTTCAGAGTGAAGTGCAGCACTGTGTTCATTTCACGATCCAGTGTTTTCAGTGTCTCAGAACGGCTTTGTTCACAGTAAATGTCTAAACAAATTCAAGTTTTTCTATGCTTAATTTAAGAGAGAGAACAGAGATTTTTTACTCACTAAAATGCATGTTTGCTTGTGTGAACCAGAGAAGAAGAGCAGGGAAGAATGCTGTTCCCTCAGTGTTTGTGTGTACATGTGTGCAATGTATGTGTGCAACTGTAACTTGTCAAGCTATAAGTTACTCATAAATTTACAGTTAGTATTTGTGGAATCATCAAATCTTAAACACGGTTATATAATTAAATAAATATAGGTACAGTGCATTTCAGAGTGAAGTGCAGCACTGTGTTCATTACACGATCCAGTGTTTTCAGTGTCTCAGAACGGCTTTGTTCACAGTAAATGTCTAAACAAATTCAAGTTTTTCTATGCTTAATTTAAGAGAGAGAACAGAGATTTTTTACTCACTAAAAAGGAAATGTAACATTGTAAAGTGTTAACAATGTTTGTGTGTAAGACTTGCCTTCTAAAAGCACAGTTACTAGCGGTGTGCGTTCACTGTTCTTGGTCTGTTGCACCAAAAGGTCTCCATCTCCCAGTATATCAGACACACCATTGCTCCATTTCACAATTCCGTTCATGATGTAACTAGAGTAATCCTCCTGATTAGAGCCAAAAGCCTTTACAGAAACAAAAACAGAGAGAACTGCATTAAATATTAAAGCATTTTTATATTTTTCTTTTACAATTCAGTCTCAGGTGGCCCATTCACAGTGTAGAATGCACAAAATAATTCACCAAACATCTAACATAAGTCTAAGTGGGCGGTTTTTGGCCAAAATGAACTCCAATGTGGACCAGACTTAATGCCGATAGTGAAGTTTGGCTGCATGAGATCTAATCAGGGGATTTGGATTCAACATATTATGCAAACTGAATACACAATAATGGAGAGTGGACTTACAGGCTTGATGTCATTATTCAGAGAGGCCATGAAGTCACTCCTGCTGACTTGCAGCATCTGAGCCTTTTCAGTGTCCACCTCCACCTGAGTAGTGGCCTACAGGAGCACAAACACACAGATTGATCCTCAAACTCATCCACTTAATCAAAATTAAAAGGTCTAGAAGCAAGAGAAAGACAGACCTATTACACCTGCATAAGCTCCATCAAATATGGGAGCATTACGTGTCAACACCATCAAATATGGGCATGTGTGAGCTGCTAACACACACACACACACACACACTTTGTCTAGCTACACAAAGATATCCATAGGCTTCTAAAATGCTTCTAAAAACTTGTTTTCATATAAAGCAAGATTGAATTTGATTACAATTCACTACCTCAAGCATTGAAACAATCTTTTCTTATATTCACATAAAAACCACAGCATTTTGATGGTATTCAAATGTGTAACGCAACATTGCTGTAATCTGATGTAAACTGCATTTTATTTGTATAATCAACCAATTTTTGAGAGAAATTCCAACCAGAGTTCAGAACTGATTTTGTTTAAATCAACCATAATTAGTTATGGCAGTGGTGGTGCATTGTGGATGAGATGATGAGATCAGACCTTGATGTGACAGTTCATGGCAGTCGACTGGGCTGCTCGCACAAGCCCTTCCAGCTCTGCTCCGCTGTAGTTCTTGGTCTCAACAGCAAGCTCCTTTATGTCAACATCTTTGGCCAGCATGTTTGCCTGACTCATTTTTGCAGTGTGGATATTCAGGATCTGAACACGGCCTGTCTCGTCAGGCAAACCTGGAGAAGGATGATTAGACAACTAGTTGTTTCAGAAACCTTGAATATGTGACCTATTAAAAAGAGTCATTCCGTTCTCACCAATCTCCATTTTGACTTCCAGTCTACCCGGCCTCAAGAGGGCGTCATCGATCAGGTCAGGCCTGTTGGTCATTCCTTAAAACACACAGTACGATTTCATAATGAAAACAAAGCCAAATCAACGAACAAAACATGAAGCGTTGTCATTCTTTATGCTGGCTGATTCCACAGGAAGTTCTCACCAATGACCAGGATGTTGTTGAGCTGGTCTACGCCATCGATCTTAGACAGTAGCTGGTTGACTACAGTGTCGTGGACCCCAGTGCTGCCTGCCATGCTGCCACGTTGTTTACAGATGGCATCAATTTCATCAAATATGATGATGTGCAGTCCACTGTTGGCCCCCAACTTCAAAAGGCAAAAAAGAGACAGAAAAGGATTGCAACAGGGCACCCATAATTTCAAAATTGTCAAATGAAAGTTCACTTGTAATATTAATTTAGAATTTTTTTGGGGGGGGGGTTTATTTTTGGTGTTTTTGCCTTTATTATGTAAGGACAGTATATAGTCATGAAGTGAAGTGGGAGAGAGAGGGGGGTGAAAGGTCCGCAAACCAGGACTCGAACTTGGGATGCCCAAAGCGCAACTGCGCTATATGGCTAACAGTGCCAATATATATTATTGTTAAAGGTTGTGACTTTAAAATGACAAATTAAAAGAAGTGTTTGTTTTTTTTACATTAAAAGTATTTAAAAGGTATTTATTAAAAGCACTTATTACACTAATAAATGAAAGTAATAAGTAAGTAATATACTATTATAATATGTATCAATGATTTGAATTATCTTATATTTGAAAATTTTCAGTTTTCATTTTAGTTGACGTTTTAGTGCTTGTCAGTACTATTTTTATATATATATATATATTTCTATTTACTTTTTATTTAAATTTTACTTCAATTTGACTGATTTTAGTATTTAAACGTAAACTTAGGTAAAAGTGCATTTATTTTAGTTAGTTGCCAAGAACTTGTGAACATTTCTACATTTTAATTTAACTCAAGTGTTTAAAAGTTTTTCATTAAATATTTATATTAATTAGAATATTTATCTTTTATTTTATTACAGCTTTATTTAAAATAATGAAAACATTTTTTGAATAGTTTTAGCTTGTTTTAGGTAACAGTAAAACCACAGAATAGAATAGAATAGCATTTAAAAATTTTAATTTTTGTAATAGTTTTAGTTTGTTTTAGGTAACAGTAAAACCACAGAACAGCACAGAAAATAACAGAATGTAATTTAGTAGCAGAATAAATAGCCTTAAAGAAAAATAAGAAGTCAGGTTAAATGACAAGCCTAAAAACTCTATTTTGTTTTGATGTCCTCTTAAAAACTTGCGCGCATAGTTCTCTTGAGCTCCCTGCTTAAATGCCAGGTTGGTGAATGGACTGTGACTGTATAAACTCTGTGACAATGGCCCACAATTAAGAGTTATCTTCTTCATCTGGGAGGCTGTCAGAGGCTAGGTCGTAACATTTAGCACAGATGGGAGGCCAGGATGAGTGTGCGTGGCCTCCCGTGAGTCAGGGTGAGGGGTTAGAGATAGCCCAACACTCTCACATTAAGAGGTGACGAGTGAGCTCTTCAACGTCATGTAGTCACACTGTCTACCAACACAACATCACACTCAAGCACGGCCAGAACCAGCAGTTCACTGCCAACACTCTTGACGCATCACCCTTGAGAAAAAAAGCAAACTATGATCATGTTTCTAAGCAAATACTAGGCCATTTACAGTAATTCAGTAAGTATATTTCAGCAATTTGGAGTTATTTGTAGAGCTTCTGGAGGGCCCAAAACTGGGAACAGCATCCTTCGTACAAACCTAAGTTTGCACGCTATGACTTTTTTTTTTGACTGTTGACAGAGCAACCTTTCTTTAAAGTGTCAAATAGCGGTGGGTTCCGTCACAGAGCCAGATGAATGTAAGGTTGTGCAAAACGTCTGTATGGCCTTTCTAAGATAACAGTGATTTGTGAAGTGCATGAAAGAATGGAGGTTTTTCATAATTTGCATTCAATCTCTTTTCCCTGCATCCTCTTTTTTCCTGCTTTCTTACCCTCTTCTGTTCTTCCTCTGCATCAGCAAACAGCTTTCTGATGTTGGCCTCTGACTCGCCCACATATTTGTTCAGAATCTCTGGCCCGTTGACCACCTTCGGCTCTCTGGCATTCAGCATCTTACCAATCTGACGCGCCATCAGGGTTTTACCACAGCCGGGCGGCCCAAACAACAAGATCCCCTTCACGTGTTTACAGCCTGTGGAAAGAGTCAAAACCGGAGGGTATGAAACATAAGACATTACAAAATGGTATAAGCATCAATGACAAACTGTATAAGAGTGTTCACAATAAATAAAAGGAAAAGTCTTTTAAGAAACGAGTTTAAAACATGCCCAACTCATATCATGTTGTATAACCAAGTAAAAAGACAACACATTTTTTCCTTACACCTTGAATACAGCTAAACACACACAACTTACTCCGTTTACTTTTTGCTAAATAAACACATTGTTGTTCAAGTTTTTTTTTTATCTCATGCTCACCAAATCTGCATTTATTTGATCAAAATATCATTACAATAAAAAAAAAAACGCTTTTCTGTTTTAATTAAGCATGACAAAGCTGTATTTTTAAAAGCTATTCCTCCAGTCTTCAGTGTCACACGATCCTTCAGAAATCATTCTAATATGCTGATCAGTGCTGACAGTACTGTTTAATATTTTTAAACAGTTCAAAAGAACAGCATTTACTTGAAATAGAAATCACTGGTAACAGTAAAAATGCATTTACTGTGACTTTTTATCAATTTAATACATCCTTGCGGAGTAAAAAAAATAAAAAGCTAAACCCATATATAAAGCACACACAAAAAGAATGGCTAAGTGTCTAATACATCTGCTTTCAAAGTAGCACAGGGGTCTTTTTTGATGAGCAATGGCATTTCTCAGACAAGAGCCCTGTTTTTGGTTAACAACATCTGCTGGCTGCCATTTGGAAAGAGCGGGAAGGCTGGAGATAACCAGCAGGCCTGAGATGAGAATCAGTATGGCCATTTACTCCTGATGACAGACTCAGGCTAAGGGAGGGCAGGCTTCCTGACTTTTCACAGAGGAGAAAAACAAGGCTGTGGCTGGGCAGACCGAAATGACCTTTAGCTGGTGGGAGTTTTGGGAGAAACTGGGTGTATTGGTGTAAACTCCACCCAAGCGCTGTCAGACAATAAAATACTCAGACACACACCCGCACCTTCCTTCAGCACCTGGGCTCCAAAACCAACCTCAATTAGGCACTCACCTTTGCGCTATCAAGACCCGCCATCTCATTAGAGCAACCAGCTGCCCGAGCCAGAGGCCGACTCCTGCAGCCATCACACCACAAAGGTCATCTCTCACTCTCTCTCACACACTGCACTCCGAAGGCTGTCTGTGTACGTGTGTATGAGTGCATGATCAAGTCATCTGGCAGCTTACAGGAATACACCCTTCATAACCATTCATTTTCAATGCAAAACAACAAAGTTCACAGTTTCAGATTGTTCAGATGAAGTCTGTAGAGGACAATGCTTTAAAGAAAACCTCATTTGAAACGTACAAAAAACTATACTAGGTGCTGACAGGGTGTTGGAGGCGGTTGCTATGCTGTTGCTGGATGATTACTAGGGTATTCTGGGTTTCTTCAAACTCCTAAATCTTAAAAATGAGCAACAGTAATAATAACGCTTGACTTAGCACATTTAAACATTCTTGTGCAAAGTTTGGCAAGATCAGAATGGTATAAAATGATAATTAAACTACAAACTAAGTGTTAACAGTTATGGATAAACCAACTGAAACCACATGTACGCAAAAACCACACACTCCTGGTGGCCTTAGAAAAAAATGGATTGTGTTAAGCTGAAATATTTAGTTACAATTATTAGAAATTTAACAACTAAGCAACACAAGAAATAAGTCATTCTTGTTTCAGAGTAACAAAACGTTATAGTGCAACAGTAGGTATAGCTGCTTTATGAGAGGTCCAAAACACAATCAAATGTACTCTAGGTAAAAAAAAAAAGGTTTTAATCGAAGGTCTTGATGTGTGTATGCCACAACTGCATCAGTGCAGGTTATGTTGTGGGGAAAGTCCTCATATAGAGATGGTTTGGCTGTGTATTATGCTAATATTTCACCATTGACATGCGCTTCCTCATTTAGGAATGAGCACCTGTTGAGAATCTGTACGAAATTCAGTGTGAGAACATTTTTTTGCACACAAGTAAGAACACTTGTTCACAATTATTGGCAAAAGACACCCAGTGTCTAAAAGCTGAGAACTGAATGTAGACAGCAGTTTCAACTGAAAATGATTATAATGTTTTCGCTGCAGGAGTCAATCTGATGGGAATGTGTCTGCTGGATAGCATCTTTAACAATTGTTTATCTGTATAAAGGCTGAATATAAATCATAAACACACAATCAGACTGCAGTCTGAGGATATAATTCAAACTAGGCTTTTTGACCGCAAGCCAGAGGCAAAGGAGAAGGATAAGGATGTTTTTTTTCTAACAGAGCAATTCTCTCATTTATGGTTAGGATGAGGTGCTGGGAGGGTCTGAAAACTGTCTGTCCAAACGCTTATATATTTTGGCTTTGTCCTCTGTGTTTCATGTCGCCCACAAAATGCTGTGCCTCTGTCTCACTGGCCATTTAAATAGAGAGGGATGTGGTTGGAGAAGAAAAAAGAGGAGATTTGTCTTTCCAAGAGAGAAACAAGCAAGCTAAGAAAAGAAGTTAGTCGCTTATAAAGTGAGTAGCTGTACAGATTTCACTTCAAAGTGCCAGAGTGAGAGAAGAAACTCACCCATCTGCTCCACTATATCTGGAGGAAAGACTCGCGAGGCGAAGGCCCGGCGGAAGATGTCTGAGAACTCCTTGTCCAGGCCTCCGATGCCCATTCGCTCAAAGTTCCAGTCTGGGTTGATGATGGACTGCCGAGAACCTCTGGTCTTTGCTTTTCCTGGAGAAAAATGACCAAAAACAGACCGCTGAGGAACACTAAAGAAATTACATATTTATATTGAATTTTTCAAGGTTATACCACTTGTCAAATATTCAGATATGTATAAAACATTTGAGTAGAGGTGACACTTAAGTGAGGTAGCTGAAGTCAAACCACACATGTGTTCTGACTGCTGTCTAGTGGTGCAGTTTGGTTGTTACACTATTTGAAGCATATGAATTGAATTGAAGCGAAGCCACTGATTGAGACACTGGATATAACTGAAATATAACTGAAATAAAAGTTTATGGATTAATCTGTTACACACATGCTTTAACTTTTGTTCGCAAAATGTGTTTTTCATTTCCTATCACTCAATCTAGTTTAAAGCCCCGTTCACACCAAGAACGATAACTATAAAGATGACTATATTAGCGTACAGCGAACGATATCGTCTGTGTATTCTAAGTGCACGCGCGTCTGCCGCTTTAAATTCTCGAGCTCGTTATAGCAGGATGGATTCTGATTGGCTGTCAATGTTTCTATCGTTCATCAGCTCGAAAAAAATCGTTCTGAAAATTATTCCAACGATATCGTTTCTCTGTGCCTTTATCGTTATAGTTGTAGTGTGGACTCAGCTATTCTTTAATATTGAGAACGATTTTTATAACTATATCTTTATCGTTATCTTTATAGTTATCGTGCTTGGTGTGAACGGGCCTTAACACCATGTCTGTCAAATATTAATTACAAATTTGAAAATCTAGTATGTGATTAAGAATGAATTGCCAATACAGGATGCTTTAAAAAAAATTCAAGCTCCATCTCATCCATGTCAGCAGCATAAAAAAAGAAAAAAAAGAATGTAATCAAGTTCAACCTCAAGTTGGTCCAAAAATGTAACAAATATATCAATGGGAAAGAAAACCTATGTTTTGAGGGATAAATATAAGATTTGTGGCAAACTTTTAAACTGTTCTTAAAAAGGTGCAAAGACTAAAAATAGAGGTGGTAGTGAATGTTAATGTAAAGCAATGAAACGTTTTTTCTTTCGGTTACATGGAAATGAATGTGTGCAGTTAAAATGTTAACTGACTTAACTCATTTTGTAATTCTAATCATTCTAAACAAGAATAAATGGTATATTTGGAAAAATAAAAATAAAAAAACATTCCAGTGATGATTGAACAATGTGCTAACACAAAGTCCTGCAAGTAAAAGCATGTGACATGTTTCACCCCAACTCACAAGAATTAGTGACCTATCAAGTTAGCAGCAACTAATGATAAAGACTATTTATAAGCAGCAGCTGACAATATTGGATTAACCATGACAGGTCCTTAGGTTAATAAGTCTAGACTAAACACTGAACTAAATACTGTAGGTACCGTATTAGGAAGTATTCTGAAGACTCATACACATATTGCATATGTCAGAGCCACAATGGTGGTGTGTGTTCACAAGTTAAACACTAACCAATCAAATTTAGAGACGAGCTCTCCGATTTCTCAAAAATCACCTGACTGTTGCCATGCAACAGTCCAATCTCAATCTGAAAAAGACAAATAGAGACAAACCATATTAAAGCCATATCTCTTTTAACACATTGATAGGTATGGTTTGATAGTAAGCAATAAAAAGCTACCTTCCGTTTTTTGCTAGAGCTTTGCTCGCCTCTAAGGATGCTGGGATCCATGGCCTCGATATCTTTGATGAGCAGTGCAAAGAGCTTATCACAGTAGCTGAAGACAAACTGCCAGGAAGACAATACAGGTTTAACTATACTTCATTAAGTTTGGGTATGACATTCACTTCGTAAGCGCTTTGCTGGCTCACCTGCTGGCCCATGCTAAAGGCCTGTGCGGAAAAAAACTGGATAAACTCAATCGCCATTTTATCAGAGTCGTATGGGTTGCTGTCAACACTCTTCTTCTGGAGGAAGTCGATCTCTAGCGTCATGGTTCCCACGTACTGTCTCGACGGGTCAAAGTTGTAGACACTCACTGCAAACAAGACACCAGAGGGAAGCGTACAATAAGAAAATTGTCACTGTTGAAATGTACTATAGTTGTTAGTCAGGGTAGACAACATATTTAATATGATGTGAATGAAAACAAGACTTGGTGTGAAATGTGCCTTTCCAAAACAATTTAATAGGACAAAATCAGAAACTTGCAGCAATACTACTCCAAAGAAATGTCAACTTACACTACTGTTCAAAAGTTTGGCATCAGAAAAATTGTTGTTGTCTAATACTTCTATTCTTCTATCACCAAAGACACAAACAAATTCAAATACATTTTTGAACTTTCCATTCATCAAAGAATCCTGAAATATACCACGATTTCCACAAAAATATTAAGCAAAGCAAATGTTTCAACATTAATAATGAGAAGGAATTCTTCCTGAAAACCAAATCGGCATATCAGAATGATTTCTGAAGGATCATGTCATACTAATGGCTGCTGAAAATTCAGCTTTGCAGTCAGAAATAAATGATATACTAATTACTAATTATTAATATATATCAAATTAGTAAACAGTCATTTAAAAATGTAATTTATTTATTTATATTTTTACAATATTACTTTTTAATATATTTATAATAAATGCAGCTGTGGTGAGCACAAGAGAAAAAAAAATCTTTCCAACCCCAAACTTTTAAACAATAGGGTACATGCGGTTTTTTGCGAACTTATCTACATTTGCATATTTCTTGGGGTGACTTAAATATTCATTTAAGCTAAATTAATTGACAATGGTTTCAAATGAAAACAGATTTTTCAGAAATTAAATTCTTGACTAACTGGCTAAAAAGAATTCAAAAAAGTAATTATTTTTCACTAGTTCCATCTATTGTTCTTCCATCTCTCCAATCCGACCAAATTGTTATCACACAACATAATAATCAATAAACACACAGCAAATGCAGGGAACAAACTAACTAAGTTATTCCACTATTAATCTGCAGCCAATCAAACTAGTTTTTATGTGAAACGGTACACATACCTTCCACATCCTGGTTTAGAGAGAGTCCAGCCCATTTCCTCTATGACACAGAGAGCATATCAATGAATTTCTATTATCTTGCATTTAGTATATTACAGGCCACACAATTATTATAAAGTTATTATTTGTAAGATCCTACTGCTAAAAGCAATGCAATATATTTTTACAACTTTCTCTTGATAGATGGTCTTACTGTAAAGCACACTAATAACTAAATGTGTACCAAAGTAGTGTCTCCAGTAGTGTTTCATTTCTTGGTCTCATGTTGATAAAATATCACATCATGCCAAAAATAAGACCACTGTGAGAAAGTTACTATAGTACCTGAGAAGTCTTTCTGCTGTCATGTTAACAGATGAAGGAGAAGCAGGCAAAAACAATGCAAGACATTAAGAAATAAGCATGCTGACAACAACAACAGTACATCTTGTACATCTGCATACTAATGCAGTTCACAAAGTAGACGGCAAAAAGGTGGTTACACAAAGACATTTTCAGAGAATACTGTGTGTCATGGGACATTAGAAAAGCCTGTTTAATGATGACACAAAACGTGTACCTGAGGTAGACTGAAGGCAATAGTTCCTGGCACCACGCTTGAGTGGGTTTTCACCGTGAACACAAACTTCTGAGTGGGTGTGGTTTTAATGCTCAATTGTCTATAAATAACAAAATAAAAAACAAGAAAGAAAAGAAATTTATTTGACATTTGCATTCAGACAGTATGTGTTTAAATATAATAACATCTCTCGTTTCTGATTCATTATTACACATCAAATACTCACTGCCCAGATTTAAAGTCCTTCTCACTTGCAACCACACAATTTGTGAGAGACAGTTCATCTGTCGGGCATCTCGCTGCTTGCATCAGCTGTACAGGAAAGAAGAAAAAAGCAAGAAAAGCACAGAAGTGATACCAAAATCATAAACGCTGAAATTTTAGCCTGGATATACAATACTAGTCAAGAGCTCAAACACAATTACTCATTTTCAATTATTATTTTCCAGAAGCCACATTTGTCTAGATCAGGGGTCTTTACATTTTTTTTAGGCCAAGGACCCCCCTCTCCCTCTCTCTAAATATTATATATATATAGAGAGAGAGAGAGATAAATACATACACACAGTTGTGCTCATAAATTTACATGCCCCTCACAGAATACGCAAAATGTTAATAATTTTTACAAAATAAGATAGATCATGAAAATTGCATGTTATTGTTTATTTAATACTGTCCTGAATAAGCTATTTCACATAACAGATGTTTATATATTCTCCACAAGACAAAATGTTTATATATTCTCCCCATTCAAAAGTTTACATACCCTTAAATCTTAATACTATGTGTCATTCATTTCCTGGATGATCCACGACTGTTTTTCTGTGTTGTGATAGTTGTTCATGAGTCCCTTGTTGGTCCTGAGCAGTTCAACTGCCTGCTGTTCTTCAGAAAAATCCTCCAGCTCCTGCACATTCTTTGGTTTTCTAGCATCTTCTGCATATTTGAACCCTTTCCAACAATGACTGTATGATTTTGAGATCCATATTTTCACACTGAGGACAACTGAGGGACTCATACACAACTATTACAAAAGGCAGAAACATTTACTGACGCTCCAGAAGGCAACAAAATGCATTAAGAGCCGGGGATGTAAACTTTTGAACAGGATGATGATGTGTATTTGTCTTATGTTTAAAGATCATATTTTTTTTCATTCAGTAATGCACTTAAGAAGCTACATAATTACTTACATTTTTCCCAGAATACAAAATAAGTACAATTTACCCTGATCATTACATTCAAAAAGTTTACACCCCCCGGCTCTTAATGCATTGTGTGGCCTTCTTGAGCATCAGTAATTGTGTTCACCTTAACTAGGCCTAATAGTTATGAATGTGTCCCTCAATTGCCCTG